CGTGTCGGAATGTATGGCATGAATTTGGACGCCTTAAACTGGGATTTGTTTCTGAGCGGGATTCTTAAACTAGGATGAAAACTGGTTCTGAATCACTGTTCCTGAAAAGGGGGAGACCCCACTTTGCTGAGGCGCTCAAATTTCGGCTACCCGGGACGATGTTCCCTAATGAACTTACGGAGCGGCTATGGGAGAAAGATGCGGCACCGACAGAAGCCCTGCAAAGTGTCGTTGGCATGAGCTACAGGTGCACACCGACTGCTTCTTCAATATATATATTTTTTAAATTCAGTTCCATCTGGAATCGTACGCTGAGACTCAAGAGATCCAGTCCCAAATACTCCTTGTGAGCCAAGGCAGGGCTTTAATTGTTGTTGCACCTGAGCGAATTTCCCCCCCAAAGTGGCGAATGAGAAGCGACCCTACCCAGCCCGATCACGGTCCCAAGAGGCTGGGCTCCTCGTTCAGGATCTGAAGTGCCATGAGGGCTTGCTTGGCGACGTTTCCGTTGCTGTGGCCACAGAGAGTCTCCAGGGTTCCGGTCACCTGATCCTTTTCGGCTTCTTGTCTCAGCTCAGCTAAAACGAGAGAGAGGAACCCCCATCTTTAAACGGGAAGGAAAGGGCTTCCGGATTAACCAGCAAATCTCGTAAGAGGGGCTCCGATGTTAACGTAGGGGCTGCGGGGCAGAGAAAGGGCCTCGCTGTAAGGTTGCCAGCTCTGGGCTGGGAAACAACTGAAGAGTTTGGGGTTGGAGCCCCGAAGGTTTAGGGAGGGGAGGGACTTCAATGGAGGAGAATGTCCTAGAGTCTACCTTCCACGGCGGCCATTTTCTCCAGAGGAACTGATCTCTGTTGTACTCCTAAGAGATCTCCAGCCACCATCTGGAGGTTGGCAACTCTACCCGGCTGTATCTGTGACCTGGGCCCTACTCCTCCGCTCAACCAAGTTTGGAGTCTTCCTCTGATGGGAACGTGGGTGAGCGTGGCCGTGGAGCAGGGTTGTTAGGTCTCACCTCTCCTGCGGCGGGGGGCTCCTGGCTCCTTGCCCGGGAGTCTTTTGCACGCACAGCATGATGACCTCACCGGCAGTGATAGCATCACGTTAGGTAACCATAGAGTCCCCCCATCCTAGAGCGTCGCCTGGCATGATGACATCACGACCGGTGACGTCATTGTGTCAGCAGTGTCCCTGCGGGATGGAGACGCTGCTGTTCGAGGGTGGGGCTTCCCCCCTTGTCCAGCTGGTCAGCGACGGATTGGGCCCCCCGAAATAAGGGGATCCCCTGGCCCCACCAGGGGAACGGCAACCCCACCATGGAAGATGTGAGCCTGTATAGGCAATAAGGCTTTTTCTCTCCCTTACTTTGGCTGGATCCATACAGAGGCCTGCATCCAACCCTCTGGGCACAGAAATTTCCCCACGTTCCTGCCAGCCCCTTCCGATGATTCCTGGGGTTTACAGGGTCCATATGAAGGAACAGCCAGATAGGTGGATTGGGGTGGTGTCAGGCTGGGACCAACGCTCCCTCTAAGCTGCGGAGTCTTGTGAGCCAAAATTCTACGTTGTGAGCTCCTGGCATTAAAGTTGTGAGCCAGCAATTTGGCTGCCGCATAAACGAGTTTGTTCGGAAGCCCTCCTTCCTGAGCGAAGGCAAAAATGTGTGAGCCGGAGGCTAAAAAACGGTGAGCTGGCTCACATGAACTCAGCTTAGAGGGAACACTGTCCGGGACTCCCTTTTTCTCGGGGAAGCTGCCTTTTACAAGGAGGGTCTCATCACAGCCCTGAGAAGGGCCTTTCTGAGGAGAGGGAAAAGGGGCTGCAGGAACAGGAAAGTCTGGCGTCACGGGAAAACGTGCTGCTAGATTTCATTTGTTTACTTCCTTTGTACCCCACCTTTCCCGCCTCCAAAGTGTCTTATATTATAGCTTATAGGTCTGACAGCAGGTAGTTTGTCCAAGGTCACCCAGCAAGCTTCCATGGCAGAGTGGGGATTCAAACCTGGATCTCCCAGATCTCGACCGGACACTGTAACCCAGCGATCCTCAGTGGCTTGGGCGCTGCATGTGGCTCTTTGACATGCCACCCGTTCCTGTTCTGAGCCCATGGGGCCCACCCCCATGTTTTAGGAAAGTGGGCAATCCCTTTAGAAATGGGAGTCATTCCATCATTATTATGGCCACAAGATAAAACGTATTCTTAGAGACAACACAACTTGTCCATGACGATTATACCAAGACAAGTGGAGACCCGCAAGAAACTTGCGGGATGGTTATCCTATTCCTCACACCTTTGCTTCCTCCTGTCTCCCCCTACCTCTCTCACACTCTGTCTCCCTTCTGCCCCCCCTTTCTTTCTCTCTCTCTCCTCCATGTATGGTTTGGAGGGTGACGTCTATGGCATTATACTGATCTGTAGTTCCTCCCCTCCTCAAATTCCACCCTCCCCAGGCTCCCCCCCACAAATGTCCAGGAATTTCCCAACCTGGAGCTGGAAACACAATTTCCTTCCCACCCCAACAGCCAACCTACCTTTATCTGCCTCTCTGTCTTCAGCTTTCCATCTCCACACCTCTCCCCCACAGCCTCTATTTAGGAAAATTACAGTCTTTGTCCACAGTGGGGACCAAAGCAACTTACATTATTCTCGCCTCCTTTTTATCTGCACAACAACCCTGTGAGGTTGGCTAGGCTGAAAGTATGTGACTGGTCCAAAATCACACCCAGTCAGCTTCCACCGCAAGATGGGGATCTGAACCTGGGTCTCGCAGACCCTAAT